GATAGAAAAGGACTTGCTAATGGACCTGAAAACTGTACAACAGAGCCACTGAAGTGTTCCTGAGATAAGAAAGGAGAATCGACTTTATTTTCAAATAAGCAGACGCTGTGAGAACTACATTGGTGAGTCAATGAATTTTATTTTACATTTCTTCTTGTCATTTTATTTTGTTAGTGTTAAATTCATGGTGACGAAATAAAATGACAAAGATACAAACATGTATCAAATAAATCTGCTCACCTGCAATTTATAATGGCGCATTGTAGTCACCTTCGTGCACGAAAGTTCTGCTCTTAATTGTGAATGCATACTTGATGGTTTTAAATGCTCTTGAAATTAAGTGCTGCTTGACGAGCCTATACAGTATTGTGTTCATAATATGTGACGTCACTGAAGGCCTAAGGTTGAAATGCACGGCCCGCCACTGAGTGCAACATTAACTTTTCTGTTGAGGGAATTCATATCATCTATTTCTGTGTGTGGTATGCAACACATTGCAGTATTTCAATTGAGTAGAGAAGAAATGAAAAATTAAATATTGATTCAATCGGGGAACGACTGGTTAGCACATCCGCCTCACAGTGCAGAGGTGCAGGGTTAGAGTCCTGCTACGGCCTTCCTGTGTGGAGTTGGCATGTTCTCCCCGTGCCTGTGTGGCTTTTCTCCAGGTACTCCAGTTTCCTCCCACATTCCACAAACATGCATGGCAGATTAATGGAACACTCTAAATCAGGCATGTCCAGCTCCGGGCCTGGAGGGCCAACGTCCTGCCTGTTTTCCAGCTCTCTCGGCTGCAACACACCTGATTCAGATGATCAGGTCATCAGCCAGCTGTGAAGCAGCATTAGAACGATCCTGATTATTTGAATCAGGTGTGTTGCTCCTGGGAGAGCTGGAAAACAGGCAGGACAGCGGCCCTTGAGGACCGACTTTGGACACCCCTGCTCTAAATGGTCGCTAAGTGTGATTGTGAGCCCTGCATAGACGTGTGCCCTGCGATTGACTGTCAACCAGTTCTGACCGAAGACGGTTGGGAAAGACTCCAGCACGCCCGCGACCCTTGTGTGGATAAGAGGATTAGAAAATGGATGGATATTGATTCGACTAAACAGCCACAACCACTTACAGTGTTCAAAGCATTGAGACAATTTCAAGGACGAGTGAATCAGGCCCCAGCTGAGTTTGGACTCATCCTAGTGGCCGCTTATAAAACTACACAAGGCCAACCACCGACGATGATATTTAAAGCTGTGGAAAAATTGAAACAAATGAATGATGTTTTCCTGCTTTTGCTAAATATAGATATTTGTTTGCGTAAAATGAACATTTGTTTTAATCTACAGTACAAACTACTGACTATGACTCCAAAATACAATTCTATTTGAAGAAAATGAAAGGATGTTATTTTGGATTCTTCATCAGAAGAAACAACATAAAGGTAAAAAATCAAATGGAATTGTTATTCGCATCGCATATTCTAAATGCGACACTATGCACACATTATTTTTTTTTGCAGTTTTTTTTTTTTATGGAAAAGGCAGTTGTACATAAACGAAACATATCCATATGAATTGTTTAACAACATTTTAATGATGTTAATCAGCAGTCCATATAGTTTAAGGATTTTGAGATACAACCTCTTACAATGTTGCTAGTGATGTAGTCTACACCGTCATAAATATTCATATAAATTGACAGAACACACTGAAAAAGTACTTCATTGAACCGTTTTTTGTCGTTTTGTTTTTTGCTCATTTTAAATCACAAGACCTCTTTTTTTACCATCGTATATACATAGTGCAAAAAAAAAAAAAAATACACGCTTGTTGTCGATGAACACTTTGATGGATGTGTCAACAAAAAGGCCCACAGGGACAGAGTACCTTTTATTAAACTACAAATACTTTTATGATCCAAATGTGTGACTTGCACAACTGATTTAATTCAATTCTACTTTTTAAAAAATGTCTTTGAGAAGTGTTTATTTTTTTTTTTTTAAATAAACAATGAAAACCTCTTAGTACACTTGTCCTTAAAAGGAATAGCATTAGTAGTGTGAATGAGAGCCGTACTTTAGTAAACAAGGGTCTTTGCTATCTTGATAGTTGTAGTCTGACAATTTCAACACTGGTATGACTGCTTTTTGAATGAAACATCATAGTTTGGAATGGATTACAAACGAGATTAACTGCGGTGTATCAAAACATTACCCAGCCCCGAAAAATACTTCAGTGGAAAGGCCTAAACTAAAGCATGAACTGCGACAGTTTATATGGAACACTGACAGCAACACAGCAAGATCAATATGACAACCCAGTACTGTACACAGATGCTGTTTTGCTTCTTAGAAGTTAAATCCTCTTACATTATCTGAATGCAAAATGGGGGGGGGGGGGCACTTACTCAAAGATAATAAAACACTTCTTACAGACTGATAGGGTAAAGTATCTTCTTTCCTTCCTTCCAACCCCCGTGGATCAACGAGGTTAGGGGGAAGCGCTCACAAGAACACAATATGTACAAAAAGGTAAAGCTCATGAACACAGCAAAGTAAATGTTAAGCTATGTGCCTGTAAACCAACACACCCACACCGAGACGTAAAATGGTCTGCGCTCGATTACAACGGGAGCCTAGCAGTCACATGATCTCTAAAATTTTTCCAAACACTTGCTCCCAGAAATGGAGACTGTCAACTTGGGATGAGGGGAAAATGGAAAAGGTTTGTTCCAATTTCAAGTGTTGCAGGTTACAAGATGAATGTGTGTTTTTTTTTTTAAATGAACCTGCTGCCGCCTGGTCCTCGACCCTCTCCGTGGCATGCGAGTGGTCTGCCCTGACGGATACCTGAGATTAGGGGCCTGATTTACTAAAATGCCAAATAGTGCGTGCTAAATTGCCTGTTCGCTCACTCAGAATGACAAAAGGTGTCATTTTGCTGGAGAAGGGTTTCTCCCAAAACCTGGCAAAATAAAGTGGAGGTGGCAAACCAACACACTACCGAAGTGTAGGAATCTCTCACTCTGATCATGAACTGGATGTATCGGCCATTCTGCAGAACACGGCGCTTCAAACTTGGAACATCACACCATAAAACTGCTGTGGCAGCGACCAGCACCTAATTGTCACGTTGTGTTTCTCTGCATCAGAGTTTTGTCATCGGTAATATGCCATGACTCGTTCTTGGGACTTGCTCCACATCTGCCCTTAGATCAGTCAAAGTGTAGGAGTTAGCATGTGGGCTCCCTCTAGTGATATGGAGGGGTAAAAAACAACCTAAACAACAAACAAATTAAAAATGTTCAAATTCTGTGTTACAATTCCTTAAACTTTTTTTTTAATCCGGTACGGTTAAGTATGTTTAATTTTTTTTTTATTATTTTTATTATCCTGTTTAGGCACAGTGATAAGGTTCATCGATGGACTAATGTTGCAGTGGCTTAAACAAATGGAAAATATACCGTTGCTGTCAGGTGGAAGCCTCGTATGACCAAATATGGTCCAGTTCAGATTTTTTCACAAACCAATGCTATTGTTTGTTCCCCATAGATTTGTTATTTTCATGCATTATTTACCAATTGAGCATGTGGGGAAAACTACTTTTTTGAAGCATTTTAAAACACCACTGCTTCCCTCGCTCTGCAGGAGTCATTATTTACTCTCAAGATTCAGAGTTTATTTAGACAATAATGAGTGATGTATTAAAGGATTTTTGTCTGAGAAGTTGGTTTGAGCGGCAGACTTTGATGTGCATGGATGGAGTTGTATTCTAGCCAAATCAAAGACAGATTGGGGTGTCACAAAAAGAATTTGAATCAGATAATCAATTTTGATTTGAATGTGCGAGTGCCTCAAATGGAACCGAATTGTTCCACTTCTAAAATATGTCAAGATACGTTATCAAATTATCTTTTATTGGAGCGATGTCTTAAGGAAATGCCAAAATGACAGTCGTGAGAGGTTCAATCATGTGTATGTAAAATTATATGCATTAATATTCAGGTTGTCAAAATTCCCGTTTCTGTAACAGTCAAAATAACCCGTTTACATGTGCGAGCAAATAGAGTAACTCCCGTAAGCATGGTCTTTTTGCCCAATTTGCAATATTCCCAATCTCCATCTAAACTGGTCTCAAGTCGATCGCGGAGGGGTGTAGAGGGAAATGAGGTGGTGGTGAGTGTGTGTGTTATTAATATATATTTGAGTTAGTGTACTTTACCCTAAGTATCCTATCAGTTCACAAAAAAAGTATTTATAAAATAAAATAAAAAAGCAGGCCACCTTTAACCTACGGTGACGCATGACCATCATCGCCATGTTTGTTTACCCCTGCTTGTGTATTTCCGGTGCATTGCACGCCAGACACGGTGCGTAAAAATACTTCCTGTACTCAAAAGACCCAAGATTCCTTGTGGATAAAGCATGCGCAGAACACAAACCAAAGTTCCTTTCAACTGAGGTATTTCAATAGTGCGGTGATACGACCAAATATTCGAGTTAGTAAAGGAGTTACTCCAAGGGTGTTTTTCGGGTTTTAAAAAAACTGGAATATGAACCTGTTCCTGTTTTTGCAGGCGTTTACATGGCTATATTCCGGTTTTGAACGGGTTATTGACTTTACTGCATGTAAACAGTCATTGTTGTTGGTGCATAATTGTACATAATAGTGATAGTAAAGTAAAATAGCAACTTGAACAGCGTGGTGTTCAGGTAAGATAGTGTTTTTTGGATTTGCTGAGAAGTAATGATTTTGGAGATGCGAGGATTTTGCCCGACAGCAAATAAACCACTGCCTCGATTTTGATGAACACTTAGGTCTGATATTCAGCGGGTATACTAATGCTGCTCCGGATGGTCATACTTGGTATGAAAAGTTTGAGACCCACTGCCTGAGATTAAGAAGCTCCAATAGTGCATTGCTGAATAGACAATACGCCGCGATAACTTTTGTTTCTGGCTTCACATAAGTGGAAGAGATTGGTTATCAGTTAGTCGATCAGATTCCATGCACACTCAAATGTGGAGTAAATCAGGCCCTAGGTAGCTGCAAGATTAGGTCTGGTGTCAGGCGGTGGAGATGCAAGAACAGCTGCTGGTTTTAGGGGATGAGAACATGTGGCAGAGACCGGAGGGAAGAGGAAGACGGGGAGGAGGAGAAACAATGTCAGGCCGTGACCTCCTTGGCCTCCACCTGCTCTTTGCTCTCCAAGTTGCAATTTGCAATTGCGTCTGAAACAAGGCCTTCCTCGTCCTCGCTTTGTGCTCTCTCCTCCTCATCCTCCTCCTCATCCTCTTCTTCTTCCTCCTCCTCCTCTTCGTCCTCCTCCTCATCCTCCTCCTCCTCCTCTGTACTGTCTTGGCTCTTCCCCAGCTGCATGTTCTCCAGGGTCTTTGAGACCCACGACTCGATGCGGCTGTTGAGGGTGGGCACCTCCATGGAAATGGGTCCGGGCGTGTAGTCCTCCTCTTCCTCGTCCTCCTCCTCTGCCTCCTCCAACATGCCGGGGACCAGGGTGGAGGTGGTGGAGGTGATGGAGGAGTTGAGTGGGCCCCTGCAGCTGCCATCCAGCGAGCCCGTCTCGGTGCTCTGCTGGGAGGCCAGCTCCAAGCGGTCGTCGGCGCGGACCTCATCCCGCTCGCCGTGGGCCTGCGTTGGGAGCGCCGCCCTCTGTGGGACGGCGCTTGTTGGGACTGCCGGGGTCTCATTGTCTCTGTGGGGCGAAACGGAAGGGGAGGGGCCACTTCTTTCGGCCTCCGCTGGCTCCGGCATGTCAGAATTTTCAACCATACTTCTCCAGTTGGTCTCTGCAGTAAGTGGGAAAGGCTTGATGAATGTTTTCTTAGGACAAACACGCATATAAAAACAGACTGGGAAGCAAATTGAGGTACGCCTGCATTTTTTGGGGAGCAATGCGCATGTGAAAATGTGCTCATGACAATGCAATATGTGGTTGGGAAACACTGATACAACAACTTTTCCACCCCAACAAGCTAAAAACGACAACCGCCGTAATAACATAACGGGACAAAAGGGATCTCACCATACTCCTTCTCATTGACCTCCGAGATAGGCTCAGAGATGACGGAGCAAAATGAGGTAGCAGACGCTGCGGAGTGGTTGCGCGAATGCCCCATGTGGTGCGGCACTTTTTTGACGTGTTTCAAAGCCTCCTCTGCCTGCTCCTGCTCCAAAGATGACACCATTTCCTTGTAGGCCTTTCTGGCCTCTTCTGTTAGCGACACGAGGTGGTCAAATAGACGCTGAAAGAGGCAGATGAGAAGATGTACAGTATTCCATTTGATGGAGAACTACCAAATGGAAAAGGAATAGTCCAGGTAGAAACAAAGGCAGGGTATATGAATTCTGTTTTACCTCAGCTCCAGAATAGTTGAAGATGCCAACCACACTAACAGCCACTAGTTTGTTGACGCAGCGCCCGAGCGCTTTTCTGCCCAAAGCAAACACAAACGGGATCCCCTGCTCTCTGGCCATAGCAATTACATTGTACAGAGCTTCATCCAAACCACCTGCAAGACAGCATGCACGCACTGAGTAAGTTTTCCAATACAGTGATGGTACAGCTTGTCCCCGCCTTAAAAGGGGTTTGTAATTGCAGATAGAAAACAAAAAACACCAAGATTCCACTAAATGGCACAAAAGTAGTACATTTATTTGGCCTGAGAACAAAAATAGCAAATAACGGAGGATACGTTTTAAAAAAAGATCAATGAATATGCAAATTGTGGTGGGGGTTCACAGTACGTCCATAGACACGGTTAAAACAATCGGATGAATGTACTGTATTACATTGGGACTGAGCACACAAAGTTAAATCCAGCCTGAATAAGGCACAGAAGAAAATTTGCGGAGAGAGTAAGTTACACATGAGTAAAGAGGAGAAATAAGGGCTGTTGTCAACACAGTTTGAAGACATTTCTCACCTTTGGCTTGGATCTTTTCACAGTTGGGAGAGATAACGACGCACTTGATCTTACGCAGCTTCATGTGCTTGGTGACCTCTCGGAGGCCCATGACGAGGCGGCGTTTAGACTTGGCCTTGTTAGGGTCCTTCTGGGAGAAACGTTCTTGGAAACGGACAAGCTCCTGGAGGAGGAGCGTCACGCTCTCGTCAATCTCCTTGCTCAGCACTTGGTTACAGTACCTGTGGAGGGCAACAAAAATGATATCAGTTTAAATGTAACAATGGCAAGGTTAGGGAAAATAGAAATCACCTCTAATGTCGACAAGATAACCTATAAAAAACCTCCGTACCATAATGCCTAGAAACTGTGATGCTGATTTGCTTTTCTTTGATGTTTGGAATGATCGTTGGCGATTTGGGATACAGTGGCACCTCTACTTACGAACGTCTCTTCAAACTAAATTTTCAAGTTACGAAACGCCTCAACAGGAAAATATTGCCTCTTGTTACGAAAGAAATTTCAAGATACGAATGGTAAAAATACAGTATGGGCTGCTACTCGCAGCTCTGAGTTTCCTGAACGCAACATACTTAGAGCTGCTCTGCCATTGGCTATTACTTCTTCCTGGCATCCCATTGGCTAAGTGGGACCTCTACCGTATGAGTCTGTGTGTAGAAAGAGAGAGATCTGTATCTATGCAATCTTATTGTAACATATTTGTTTTATACTGTGATGCATTTTTAACCTTTAGAAAACATTTTTTGTCTGAATTTTGGGGGGGCTTGGAACGGATTAGGGCATTTAAATAGAAAACGCATCTCTAATTACAAAATTTTCCAGTTCAGAAATTTCTTCCAGAACCAATTCATTTTGAAAATGGAGGTACCACTGTTGTATAAAAGAAATCAAAACACACAACCTTAGGCTTCAAGTTATTGTTCTGATGCTATATTAAGCTGGTGGTCACAGCAAAGGAAGAGGGGGAGCCGAGCCACAGGGCCGTTTGGAGGATATCAATGCAAAACATGCTCGAGAAGGGTGGGCAAGGAGGACAATAGGGCTATAGCAGAAGACACAAAGAAACGTTTGTGGCTACTTGCATACATTTTTGCTGAGAAGGCACAATGTGTCAGACATCTATGACATCCTCTACTATTCACTACTGTACAACGGACAGCCCTTACATAAAAAAATAAATAAATAAATAAAAGATACCCGCTAACTTGTAAATGCTTCTCCAAGTCAAGTCTATTTTTGGGTGTGACAACTATTCGCCAGATTTCAGAAAGGGATCGCGAGAGTGAGTCACTTACTCTCTGAAACGACGACTGTGGATTATTGTGATTGCATTTGAAGCCATTGGACTCCCGATGCCGGAGCTCGAAGGAGAACCCTGTGATACAGGGGTGATGCTGTATGGCGAGTTCTGGCTGGCTGGGGAGAGGGATGTGTCACTGGGTACACTCAGGCCATTTTCTGGAACATAAAGCGAAGCAAGGAACAAAACTGAACTGTATGTAGAGAGCGCTTTAAAACAACCAACGCTGTGTACAAAGTGCTGAACATGGAGCAAAAATAATTCATAGAACAACAAACAATACATTCAAAACAAAGAGAGTAGAAAGCAGTAAAACTAACAAGTCTAATTCCGAGTCAGAAGCCAAAAAAATAAAAATTAGATTTATGATGAGTTTTAAAGATGGGCAACAAGGGACCTTGCCGAACATTCAGTGGGACCAGCAACAAAAAAGGCTCCGCTTAGTTCTTGGTATCTCTAATAATGTCAAGTCCGCAGACTTGAGGGACCGGGCAGGTGCGTAGGGGCGGAGGAGCTCAAAAAGATTCAAGTGGGGCGAGGCCATTTAAAGTTTTAACTGTTGACGAGGATTTCGTATTGGAACAATAAACTATTTATATAATTTTCCCCACCTTCTTGACAGACAGGCTCTTGGGAAAGATCTTCAGTAAAATGTAAACAATCATCCCCATGCTCTTCTTGGCCATGTGACTCTCGGGCCATGCTTGTTTTAACTTTTTTGTCTTCTCTCTCCTTAAGAATAATCTAAAAAAAGAGAAAAACATAGCAGAAATAAACATTGAGAGCAATTGTTGACTTTACGACAGATGCAGTGTCCGGATGAGCGTTCATACTGCAGACGCGTCGCCGACATATCCGGTTTAGATCTATATATGACAGAGGTCGAGGTTGGATTTGAGGAGGAAAAAAAAAAGGAATTGCACTGTTCACACTGCAAAAAAAATGTGTGTTGCATATGGGCAAAAAAAAAATCTGCATTGAGCTACAATGAAAAAGCCTTAAAGGCAAAACCTAAGCAACTAAAAACAGCCATCAGTCACATGCTCCAATACTTTGGCTCATTTGTGTCTGGCTTCACACAAAAGGTGCTCTGTCCTGAGTTATCTAACACATCTAGATACAAATATCATCGAATAAAAGCTGGAATTATGAATTTTGTCTCATATTCATCTTTTGATGTCTTCAGTATACAACAAAAACAAAGGAATTGACCTTGCCGTTCCTATAGTTTTGGAGGGGACAGTATGTATATTGTAAATCTGGCCCATAGTGCCTCCACCACTCCTGAATAATCGAATAACAAGGAATAACCTTTTTGAGAGGTGTTGGTTGCTTGACTTTCGGGATCTCCCGCTCCTTCCCTCGTTTTATACGCGGGGCAGTTGAATCCAGAATGTTAGGGGAGCCCAAGTGTGGTTGAGGATGACCCTTCAACATAGCTGCCAAGCTGCCTGTACTGTGGAATGGCATAGTTGTTCCAACTACGGGAAAATAAAACCAAGTGAGTAGACACCGAAAAAAAAAGGGCAGAATTCCAAGAGAGTCTCCTTCGTGAGCGGTGATGTTTGAATGCTAAACAATCAATTTGGGCTGGGATACCTGCGAAAGATAGCGGCTTGGTGTTGGTGATTTGCTTGGCCTTCATTGCCAGCTGCTGTTTAGCCAAATCAGCTAGCATGTCTCCTAAATCCAGCGTGACAGGAGTTTTGCTCTTCTTGCCAGCTGCTTTGGTGAGAGCCTCCTGTCGAGAGGGAAAAGGAAAGGACAGAATAAGGTCACTCGACGAAAACGGGTAACTCCAGATAAGCATTGAGTTTAGAGTACATTACAAGACCTGTAATTTTTGCTGCTCCATACTAATCTCTGAGTATTCCTGAGCAGTGGCCATAGCAGCAGCCAAAGCCCTCTTCCTCTGGCTCTTGGCCTTCTTGGGAACAGATGTGGTAATTGGGATTGGTGTCTGCACAATGTTGATCGGCGAGTTGTCTGCTAGGTTTTCTAGCTGTGGTAAACAAGAAATCAACAGGAATTGTTTTGTCGCTTGTGAATGGGATCCGCGTGCGTCCGTGCGTCAAGGATGACGATAGAAAACCGTCATCTTTAATTGATTTGAAAAAGCTCTGTTGGAGAGTTGGCTGCTGGTATTCATCCAGCAGCCAACTCGAAGGATAGCCATACCACACCCCACACCCACTCACTTTCTGCGACCAAGATCTGATCGAAGCCACTCCTGCCATCCAGTGGTGATTTATTATACTAAAATCATTCCTACAGCCTCGACACTGACGGAGGAGGTGTGCGAAGCTCTTTATTAAAAATGTTTTAATTAAAAAAAAAAAAAAAACACATCCAAAACCTTTTATATTTTATAAAAAATTTATATTTTGGCACCAAATGATTGGGGTTTTGCAAATGGGGTTGTGTGTTTTGGCATTAAATTAGTAGAAAAAAAATCAATTTATAGTATACAATACTGCCAAAATTCTCGAGCTAAACTTTCTAGAAATTAACCAGACACCCCACTATGCACACTGCATGGCAAAATAAACTAGACTCGACTTAACAGATCAAAACTGGCATTACCGGTACACTGATGTTGACTTTAGACTTTCCAATAATAGTCTATAAGCACACGCTTCACCTACCAGATTTCTATGCAGTTTTGGCTGCATTTGCGTTTGTGCTGAAGGTGCTTCTGCTTTGGAGCAGCGCTGGACCCCACCTCTGGTGGGTAGGTCTGGGAACTCATCCCTCTCATCTTCATCCTTGTAATAAAAAATACATCTTAGGGTAAGAAATAAAAAGGTGAACCAGTGAAATTGTACATTCAGATGATATTTGTTTTCCCACTTCAAAGTAAAGGGGCTCTGGAGTGATCTCGTCACGTGTGACCAGTACTGGCTGCTGTCTTTGTTCCGACTGGTTTGGAAGACCACGCCCAGGACAGGCACTGCGAAAATCCTAAAAACGAAACAGTGTATGTTTAATTCTTTGATTTTTTTTTCTCCTTGCAGGTTGACAAAATTTACCTCATATTTGATTGGAAGGTGTTTTAGCTGCCATGATGTGTGTTTTACATACTTGGCCAATAAATCTGATTCTAATATGTATGCATATAAAAACAGACACAATCACACACAATAATGATCCAAATTTACCTAATCTGTGATCTTATCAATGCAAACAAGGAAATCCATTGGTCTTTACTGTACCGTTGAGCTGTTACTCTGTTCGGTATTCTTCCTCTGGTCTGCTCTGTGGAAATTTACCCATGTACCTGCTAGTAGACACAAAGAATCACAATGCTGGTAACTGAATAAACTATAGTAGATTACAGATTGCATTGTAAATAACTGTTTATAATTGAGTCCATTAAAACAAGGGAGCCCTAACACTACGGACACATGGTTAATTCATCACAACTTTGATTTGAAGTCAAGATGGCGCCCGAGTAGGCAGCCGTCAGCAAGTGCTCTCATGAGCCTTGCTTTTTTTGTTGTTTTTGTGTTTGTTTTGTCACTTTGTGTTTGTTGTTACGTCGTGTGGACCTGATGTGGACTTTTTTCAGCATTTTTTGGCCACGACATTCATCAAGGAGGAGACTCTGTGCTTGGTGGTTGCGCCTTCTCGGCAGCATGGGTATACCAGCACTGTTTTTGACTGGGAGGAATGTCGGCGCCAGTTGCTGGACAGTCCCGGGGCGCTTGTGTCTTGTGCCTGTAATGGGCAGCATTTTTCACAGCCCCGCTTTGTTCAGCGGAGAGATCGGTGCTGATGAACGGTCTGCAGCTGGATGGATGCATGGCTTGAGGAGCCGACAATGAGAAGGAAGGAGCGTTAGCGCGGAGCGCCGATGCGGATGTGGAACCGGGAGTCGCGGCATGGAGTTGAAGCGGATTACGTGGAACAGGAGAAGTGAACTAATCTCTTTTTGTCAATGGACGCTACAGCTTCGTGTTTGCTTTCAAAACTTAGCTTGTAGCAGACATGTGCACATTTTCAGCATGGCGTCTTTGATCCACTGGTAAAAGGACACTCTGATCCTCTCCTCTTTCGTCTATAACTGCTTCAGACAACAAAGTGTATGCAGGAAAGTGGTGAAGATTGCACAACTGTCTGTGTCCTGTGTGTCGTGTTATTTTTGTTATTTTGACTTCAGGATGACGCCGCGAGAGTGGCTGCCTTTCCAGCGGCTCCTTTGCTGCTGTGAATACTCTAATTGCCCCACGGGGATAAATAAAGTTTTCTGAAACTGAAACAACAGCTGTGTTAAAAATTCCACCTCTATAAGACAACCTTTATTTGTCTCACAAAGTAGAAATTCGCAATTTGCAGCAGCAAAATGTTGAAGGGAAGAACGTAGAAAAACAAAGTAATTGCATGCAGAAAATAAAATTAATGTGATGAACTGTACACAGTACAGAATGCAATATAAACATAAAATATAAGATATAAGCAGAAGGACAATGGTGTTCACTTTTCCCCTTTCATGTTGCAAAATAAATCAAATTTTATATACAGTCCCACCCAACCAGAAACACAGTTATTCATATACAAGCTGAACATAATTATCTTGGTAACAGTAGAAATTTTTTCAACTACTGAATTGGATCTTATTAGATGCCAAAGAAATGTAGTCATAAGAGCAGAACTTGAACTTACTTGTCATTACACCAGTCTCAACTCCCTAAAGGCAAAAAAGACAGATCACGGAATTAACATATAATAGTTGAATTTGATCATAGTTGATAATGCTTACTTTAATAATTTTACTACACTTGCATTTGGAATACTATAAACTTGATTGATCTGAAAAAAATGTAAGGCCTGGATAAAAAATAATTAGAAATGCTACTGAACTGAAATATACAATGACTATGCCTACTAAGTCAAGTCAAGCCTCCAAAATCCAAAATAGTTGAGACAAAAAAAGAAAAGTTGCCATACTGTGGATGATGCGGAGTTCTCTGCTGTTCGAGGTGTTCCTCCTGCTGCCTGTTTATGTTTGGGGCTACAGTATCCACTGTCGCTGTCTATGTCAGCTTCACTGGTGCCCCGATCGCTGTAGCTTTCGGCTGCATTGGATGCCCCTTGCCTCTTCGTTCGGTTCTTCCACGGTAGTGGACTGGCTGGCTCCCCAAAAAAATGCCCGGATACCTCACCTGGGAAATCTTAACGATGAAGTATCAGATTAGACAAATACATTAATCCAATCTTGTGATACAAATACTATCACAACACTTCATGAGTTATTCCATCACCAATATGATATAGCTGGACAAATAGTACAGTTCAGAGTCAAAACATCACCAACTGTCCAGATGGAAAGTCTGATTCATCGTCCATTAGGTGAGGCGTAGCCTGCTAATTAACAAACCTGCTATTGCTCACAGCTCATTTGCGTTTTAGAGAGTGCTCTTGCAGTTTAGCCGTCAATATGTTAAACTGGTTTGGTATCACTATAAAGTGCCTTTGGGGTCCTCATCAGAATCACTCTGTCCGTCTTCATGAAATGTAGCAGACTATAACTTTTTTTCCCCCCCCCTAATGGTTGTACGTGATTCTGGCATGTCCCACACAATGCTCTTCTAACTGGTGCTATGTCTCTCTCAAATGCCAGTTGAACCAAGTGGACCTTTAATTTTATAGAGAAATGTCTCCTTCTGGTCTGAAAACGTTTTTTTTTTTTTTTTAATTTTGGCTTTGTTTTAATCTTAATCCCACTGTTCCTGTTTTGAACAGATTTACAGAGAAAAAAATAGATTGATTAATCGATCGACACACTGACAAATAGATTGATAGACATATGTTTGGGCCAAAAGTCAAGTGGTGGGAACTCATTTGGGAGCATTCATTGTGATAAATAAAAAAAAAAAAAATCTAAATCAAAATAATAATGACATTTTCATCGACATACAACAGCTGTTTACTTTCACATCATGGCTTGCACAGACGAAGATAACCAAACTGGAATTTCTACATTCCCGTTCTGTTTTGAAACCCAATTGTTTGCATCCTCAACCTGTACAACCAGATGCTGCGGTTACTGGCAGTGAGCCGACCTTCCTCACTAAAATGAAAGTAAAATGCTTTGGGTCAAAGAAAATCTTTTGTGAAACGGTACCATCTTCTACTGCTTCATTAAACAGGTAAAATAAAAGTTGAACATTTAGGTGACATTGTATTTTTTTTACATCCTTACAACACTCCAGGAGAAATATGTGTACCTGTCTGCTGGGCTGCATCCACCAGTAGTACTTTCTTTGTCCAACCATCATGACCAATGTTGCACACTTCCTTCTGCATAGCCAAAGTTCTGTTTGGGGGGCGGCGGCCCCTTGCTGGCTGGCAAACACCTAAATGTTGCTGTTTTACATGACAGTGAGGAGAAGACTGTTATGCTGTAATATGACCATCTTCAACATGAGAATGAAACAATACAGTGGCACAGAAACATCAAACTGCTTAGATATGGTCTATAATTCTCTTTATAATCTCCTGAGACAACGCTCTCCTTTGCTTTCTCTGGGCATGTTTAGTGTGTTTACACACCATGTCTCCAAAGAGCACAGTGACTATTTGTCAACCTTTAAATAGGCTGACTATGTGCTTACAAGTTTGAAGACACCTGTAATGCCAATTAGAGGACACATCTTGTTTGAACATGTCCCAATAGTCAAATTACACTCATCAACAGCAAATTTTAATCAGAGCTGGCTTTACGTCTCCCTCAACGTGTTTTTGATGTTGATTTAAAAAAATGTCATCACTGTCATCAGGCTTTTGTGACATCTTCATTGTTTTGGTTTTAAATGTGACCTACAAAAGATCCGGTTTCCTCCCACATTACAACAACATCCACGGCAGGTTTATTGATCACTATAAATTGCCCAGAAGTGTGATTGTGAATGTGAATGGTTGTTTGTCTGTGTGCGCCCTGCGATTGGCTGCCAACCAGTTCAGTGTACCCCGCCTAGTGTCCGCTCGTGAGGATATGAAAATGGATGGATGAATATTAGTCCAGTATTTTTTTTTCTTTAACAGAGGGATACCGACACTTTTGTCTACGTGTGTATACGACGAGTGAAAGAGTAAACCAATTTTACCTTTGGTGTATTAGGTCGAAGCATGCCTCTCCCTCTGTGATTCGCTATCCCGTATGCCGTCCCAAGAGGCAGAGGCCTTTCGCCAACATCTGCAGAGACTGGATTAACAACCCCAGGCTGCACTGGCCCAGCATAAGTGCCAGGAAATGGCTGGTAGAAGCCCATCATAGGGGGGCACGGGGCAGGCATTATCTGGTAGTAGGCATAGTCATTGGACATAGGTGGCTGAGGGGAAGACATGATTGGGTATGCTAGGTAAGGACCACCGGGGCCGGGGTTAGGCTGATGCCAGCGCAGGTCCCCTCCATTGTACAGTGGCTGATGCTGCCTGTAAAGAACAAGAGAAGAATAATTTATACTCTGACAACAGTCTGTTTACAAAACCTTGAAATCTCACCGCTACCGTTTAAATGAATTTTTTGAGCGCATATTGTATGTCCAAAAAGTTCTGATGTAAACAGAATCACGAACACAAACCTATTTTGACAACAATTTGCAGCCAGTATATTGTCAGTATCGTATCATTAGTGTAACACTGCCCAGAAACCTTTGCACACATTTTTTTTTTATTAATGTTTTCAGAGAAAAAGCAATTGGCCATGTAGCATTACAATGATGGCATAGTCAGCAATTGCAATAGGTAAAGTATATATTTGGCACTACTTTATGGCATCTTGATGGTTCTGTTATATGGATTCATTCACTGATGGGTTTTTTTCTTTATGTCTGTTTTAGACAGATAGATTTCTGTCTTTTTTTGTGATGTTTCTTCAAATGCAACTTGTGCGAGGGAAAAAGTAATGTAGAAATACATTTTTTCGACTCTCGTGAACCAGCTACTAATAGCACATGTTGTCTAACTTACTTTTTATCATGAAACTTAATACAGTAGTTGCTTTTTTTATAGTTGTGAAAGGGGTCACAGAAGTGGCAAAAAAAAAAAAAATAAAGACACTGGCTTTTATAAACTAGCACCTCTCTGTTCGCAACCATATTAGTGTAAGCAGTGCATGTCGGTAGGGATGCAGAAAATGTGGAAGCCACTTAAAAAAAAAAAAAAAAAAAAAAAAAAAAAAAAAGGGGGAGAGAAATGGTCCAGACAAATTTAGTTGAATTCATTGAAATCCATTAGTTGCACACCAAGAGGCAGCAACTATGGAACCTACTAAAAAAAAAAAAAAAAAAAAAAAAAAAAAAATCCAAGAATGGCAAATCCAATCGAATCAAGGAATGAAAGCGATTAATCGCCCAGCCCAAGTATATACTCTACAATTATGAGTTGATTCTGAACATGAAATGCACACATTAAACAAGAAAATTCAACAAATTTAAGATGTTTTTCAGAGGGGAAAGGCCTCGAGAGGGATGGATGCATCTGTGGCACCAAAATGAAGTACTGTACATGATGGGTTGTTAAGATGGTGCGGTCATGCTACAGAAAGGTTTGCCATTTTAACAACCAACCTGCTATAGCAGTCAGTCATTTCCTTGCATTCAAATAGTGCGGAAGGAAACAAAGGCGCTGATGTGTGCAGGATATAGAAGGGGCCAATGGAAACTGGATGTGGTGCCATGTCCACTTGGGACCTCCGAGGCGGTGGTATCTATTTGTTATGACACGATCCTAAAATTAACCACTCCAACTCAACAAATAAATTGTTGAAGCAAAGTACTGCTGTCAAACTTATTTTCAAAACGGAGTTTAGTGCAACCATATAAATGCGTAAAGTCTTTCACATAACTGCATTAGAGGTTGCTATGAACCATCTCAGCAAATATTTTCAAAACAGGAAAACATACTGTCCATCCTGAAAATGGAAAAGTCACCAAAAGAGATTCCATAACAACACAGGTACCCAAAGTTGAAGGAAAAGTCAAGAGAAAGTTGGACACCTTATGAAGTTTTTTTTTTTTTAAACACAAAAACAAATAACACACAAGAAGGCTGTTTAATGTCTTTTTCTCATGGGTGCACTTAACTAGAGACAGCAAGGACAATGATGTTGGTGGAGAGGTCTGCTCACATACTGCAGCAGAGGCAGAACAATGACGGGAGGGGAGAAAAAGTCAGGAAACGGAGCGAGACTAGTTTTCATGAGAGGATTCTTCCCATCCAAAAGGTATTGGCTACTCCACGTGCAATTCACATTCGGCTATGAGTCAGAGCAAGATGCAAGCTCCACAAATTATGCAAATGCGGTGCGGTATATTAATTAGCGGGTTCATTTCCCTGCCTGTGACACTGACGGTACCTGTTGGGTTGGTTCTCCTGAACAAAAGGGTAGCAGGTGATGAGGTAACTTGGTATAGGAGTAGTTTCCACCCCTCCGCTGGCCCCTCCTATGCCTCCGCCGCCTCCTCCTCCCAGCTCTCCAGACAAACTCATGCTGATCAGGGATCCTTCGAGACCTTTCCTCTGGGGGATGAACGGTTCCACTTCGGCGGAAAGTTTCACATCCTGTAAAAAGTGAAGCAGGATTATTTTTGGAGTGTGAGCAGCAGAACCAAATTAGCCATTAAATAAGGCAATTAGATGACAATTAAAAGTTCACTCTGAAGGCTGGGTTATTCTGATCAAAACACAGTGTTTGGAGCCCAGCCCTGCCGCGAACATCAAAATTAGCCAAGTACCGGTAATTGGTGCCTCCCTCAAAAGGCTGATTACTAAAGATGTCAGAAAACGGTAGTTAAGCTCTACTTTTCTCACAGACAGGGCTACGGTCTGACTAAATGAAGCTCCTGCCCTCGCTTCAACATAGTTCTAAGAAATCGCAAATATTGGGTGGAACACCGTTCTCTTATCAGCTATAACTGCACACGTTATTAAAATAGATATTCATGAATAAATAAGTGTGCAGGTGTACAGACTGCAGTTTCAATACGCTGTACATCTTGGGTAAAATATATGTTTGACTTTTTTTTTCTTCAAGCCATAGACATGATCTGAGGATGTTCTTGATTGGTTCAAAGAATACACACAAATTCAAGAATTAAGATATCGATCAATCAAATATTTGTGCCTACGCAAGTTCACTAAATGAGGCCCAATGACAGCATTCATTGATGAAATCCAAACTCCATCATGGTGCCAGAAACTCTATCCGCTCCACCAGCCGATCACCAGCATGCTTACAGTTGGTTATAAATAGACCTAATGTCGGCAAACATGTAATTACCGTGGAACCCCTGATAATGTTAAAAAAAATACAAAGATAAGTGCTACAAACATCGAACAAAACGCAGACGCAAGGCACAGCTTCAACATGAAAAAAGAAAAAATTCAACAGCAGAAAAACATGTTTGTGGGAAGTTAACTCAAGTAAGCAGACGCATTTTTAGTGATGAACTTCCTTCTACACTTGTGGGGCAAATAATTACGTTGAAAAAATAGACACTGCAGTTTTCGCATTACACTTTTGTTACTTGAAGTTAGTGTTTGAATATGAAAAAGGTAGAGGGTTTTATTTTTAGTTGCAATGGGTAATTTTACATATGTGTCAGAGTTGAGAATGTTGTATGTATGTACACAACGGAATTTGTAGTTCATTGAGATTTTAAGTGGTTCCGGGTTTTTTTCAGGTTACATTCGTTAAGGTCTGTGGGAATAGCTATTTTATTTCATTTCTTCATGTGCCCCAAACGCCGTCTGGGCACTTGTGGAATGATTGCACCTCATCTGCAATTTTTAACTGCTACATTAGCTCTGTCTTTTCCATCAAGACGTATGCCACACATTTTGGGGTCAGGCTTCTATGATTACATCGACTGGGTATTCAGAAAACAACTGCATTTGACATTTTCTAGAATTTTTCACAGATTTAATCAATTTATGAGTGTCCATTTCTGGCAAAGTGTAATAGACAGATTGGGTTGAAGTATTGGTTCAAAAAAAAAAAAAAAAAAAAAAAAAACTTTAAAAACATCATCCTCCGTGTTCTTTCTCCTCTGTCCAAGATCGACAATTAAAAAGAGGGGTGAGCGAGTTCAGCAAACAAAGAGGCTTCCTAATTTCTCTCAAACAGTGCTTGGGATTTACAGTGAAGTCTGTGCATGTAACACAGACATCTATTGTGTCCCATGACACTTGGCGCTGGGTGGTTGATTTCCCCCTCCACTTCTCCCTTCACACGTCCACAAATGTCATCTTGTCTAAATAGAAATGTAGCAGATTACGCCTGGATAGCCAATTCACCAAAACCAAACAGCAATGCTGACTCTCAAGAGGCAGGATATGGCTGCAAGTGATTGTTTTGTAGTGGTAAAATAAAAAATAAAAAAAGCCTGTAGCGTTAGTTGCAGGTTCAGGGTCGGGGAACCTCTGGCAGTTGAGCATCAGATTGAACTTGTAACTCTGAGAACAAAACTCAGATAAGTCTTTTAGAAGAAAAAAAAGCCTCAAACACCAAACCTAATATAAATAATATGAAAGAAAAGTTTATTTCAAGTGGCTTAATATATTTTGATACATTCAGTTGGACTTAAACACTGAAATGGCACTGATCGGAAATAGGCCACCATAGCAGGCTGTGACAGGATTAAGTCTGAGGGGATACAGCAATACCGGATAAGCTAATTACACAGAAAGGAAGCGCGTATAAGACCACAAATGCGCAAGTAGTGAAACTGGAATTTAGAACTCACAGGTGATCATTGGAATGTGGCATTGTTTTGAACGGCTCCAAGAGGACAAAACCATTAATTGACTGTCAGTGTGTGTGCGCATGCGTGTCAGTTAGTGAGCGTGTGAAGAATAGCTGCAATTGTTAAAGTTGCATTGAGGTCACAGGCAGATGTGCATCCTTTGGGAGTGGTGGAGCCAAAGCAGATAGACAGCGATCAACTGCAGCTTTTGTTTCGTGAGAATTAAGCATCTTCGTGCTATACAAGTGTCATTTATTATTCCAATTATTAGTGAATGTCATTGTTAACACTGCACACATGCATGTTGTGTGTCTGTGCTGACTATGGTGGGTGCACTGGAGCGACTATTGAAAGCGATTCAAGATTCAAGATGTTTGTCATGCGCACGGTAAAACAGCACTGCAATGGAATTCTTACTTCCTCCGTTTATACAAAGAATATAAAAATACGAAGAAAAAAATTACCGGTATAAACAACAAACAATAAATAATGACATAAGAACAATTTTAGCACATTATCAATATCCATGCACTAGTACATGCTGTCCTCAATCGTATTAGGCCAATTCAGCGCGCTAGTAGAACAACATGTTGTCTCGTAGAATTTTGTGTGACTTGTAGTATTTGTACCACATTGCTGGCAACTAGTGCAATTTTCCCCTCACTAGTAGTAACGCATAACAGTTATCCTGCTAGTATCCCAAAGTTATCCTACTAGTGAGCAGAAATGTCATAAAATGGTGGAAAAATAACATTACTTGTTCTACTAGTGTGTTGAAGTGAACTACTAATGAAGACAAAGAGCATACTAGAAATGATTAATTGCAGAACTCTGTACTTCTGATTGACCGCTTTGATTAATGGCCAGGTCTTAAAAACACTTAATAAGCACATTCACACATGACCTGCGACCGTCAGTCACAATTGATGCACTCAGCAGAATGCAGACTAGCGAACAGTTAGCCAGTTAACTGTCAGCTGCTAAACTCAGCTCACAACTCACTGACTCCCACATCACTCGCCAGGCCAGGCCTCACCGTTGAAAGACATACACCAAAAGTCTCAGGTATAACAGTGAATACCCGGTACTGTTTATTGACCGATTGTTTGTTTATAATTATTCAAGGATTAAATAAAAAAAGGTAAACAATATCACACAAGAGGGATTGATAGTCACCAAGCTTTTTTAAAGTGACCCAACTTCTTGGGCACTAATTAATGCTTACTTATTAAGACTACTACTGGTAGTTTGACATTCACTTCTGAGTTTGCTTCAGGTTCAACTACATATACATTACAGGTCATTTGTCCAATAGCCGCTATGATTATTTTTTTTCTCGAATAAAGTGGCTATTTTTTCCCCTCAATAAATTGATTCAAATTCAGTAACTGGTTTGATCATTATTTTCCAAAGTAAAATCTGATGTCTAAAAATGTCTTATTGTCACCCTCTTAAAATAATGGCCAGTCAAATTTTGACACCCCCCCCCCCCAAAAAAACGATTTATTCATTTTTGCCTTAAACTTCTCCCGATGGAGGTCACCACTGGTAAGATTGGCTTGACTTGAGGCCATTTATTTCGGAAAGCGACACTATTTTGATCAAACACAATTATAAAAGGCTGTTGTTATAAAGGACTAAATAGGAGCATATTGACAGTCTAGAGGCGGAAATTGTTCAAAATGATTATTCGCTTATTAAAACAGTTAATTTGATGATTAGTTCACAATTACTGGATTAATTTTGGACATCTCTAAATCAATGGGGTCATCAGTAGAAAAATCAATTCTAGAAATAACTGTTTCGTGGAGCCCTAGTACGAATAACAAAGTAGTAAATAGTAGCAAATCAACATTAAGGTGCATATCCTTGATTCAGAATAAATGCTCAAATCAAAACTGTCCGCACATTTATTTCATATGAAGGATATCAAAACCGTTTAAGCATTTATTTGATATCATTGAAATCCATGTTAAGGTCATACTAGAAGTGCAAAAATTGTTCTCATAGTCGAAAGAACATCACTAGATGAGTCTTTGTTTTCATGTACCCTAGACGTTTTACCAGTGCAACAAAATGTCCTACTTGTGAAAACAAAGAGCATAATGGACCTCTTAAATTGGATATCAAAGGTTAAATGCTCTCTTCTACATGATGTTGATACATCTGATAAGTCATAAGTATGACGTAAGGTAAATTATTCCAGCATGTTTTGTTGTCATTCGCTCAGAAAAGCACACCACACCTTGTGATGAATACTGGCACGCCGAATGCCTCTGCCCTCGTCTCACACACACGCACGCACACGCACACGCACACACACGGGGCAGCGGAATGTCATCAATGCTGGAGAACCAGACATTCTTCTTCACGTTACCTATGAAACCTCAGCGCCTCACCTAAAAGCACTCTCACGAATTATGGAATGGTACCATGAGAGTTCCTTCTGCGTCAATCGGGAGTGAACATGCGAATTGTCGCTCAGCTGTTGCTGCTTCTAAGCGTCGTTCAGTGACAGCTGAGATGTTTTGGCTCATGTAGCCACAAGCCGAGTTAGCGTCAACATAGACGTCGCTTCTCATCGCAGAAGGCAAAGATGAAAATGTATCGAACTTAACAGGTATCCTTCAGAGGCGACACATAACACACTAAACTTGAGACGTAGATAAAACCAACAAACAAAGAAAAAAACAACAACACGAAACAATTATCAATGGCTGATAGCCGTTACGTGACAAAAGCCGTTGCCGTTAGCTTTCCTGACGATGCTAGGCAATATCTGCTGAACTGCCCATCTCAAAACAACGTGCGCTTTAAATGCGTCTGACTACACATATCGATTAAGCAAATTTCAACATGAGAGGGCGTAATTTAGCAACGTGAATTACCTTAATGTCACTTGCATCCATGTCAGTCACCGACGCGGCGACTGTCCGTCACTGACCCCACAGTGGACGTCAGGATGTGGGCCTTTTTATCTTCTTCATGGTGATTAACAACAACAATCCCCAAAGGTTCAATAAAGTGTACACTCGGATCTGACTGAACGTACAAACGGGCTTTCAGGTGGAGAAACGTCCGTTCGCTGTGCGTTAACTCGAACCGTTGGCCACTTGCTAACAGCGACTAAAGCCCAAGCCGACTCTCCAGTGGAAACGGGAGTCACCTGAGCGGAAGGAGTTGGGGCCCAGCCATGCTCCCATTGGCTGGAATACGCTACGCGTCCGACGCGTCATTGAGGCATGCTCGCTTTATTACGTGACGTCATACAAGCAAGGCATGATGAAGGTAAAAGGTTCACACCCCCCTGTTCAAATGGCAGGTTTTTGTGATATTAAAAAAGGGACGAATTTAAATATGTTTGAACTTTTCCACTATTATTAACGCACCTGGGGCAAGTAAAAGTGAACTTGGAGTTCAAAATGAACCAAGCACATTCAAACTCATGCTAAAGTTCAGTTGTTCTTGGAGGCTTTTCCACTGGGAATAGATACTTTATTCACTCATTGTGTAAATCCATAGAAAACTAAAACTCCATTTAAAAACACTTGGAGCTAGTAGAAAGGCTGCCACTTGTGATCAACATTGAATGATGTCTGGCAAAGCCTTTTTTCGATATCCTTGATATCCTATTTAAGTTCCATGTACTAAGAAATTCTTTGGCCGAACACCTAAAACAAGTCAGTATCAAACAATGCTGAAACAGCTTTGCAGCAAGCCATGTGAACATTTATTTGATATCCGACTACAGTGCTTGCTCACTGAATGGTGAACGAAAACTACTGCATTGTAAATAATGATCAAACAACTTGCCATAACGCCATTTGACCATTTCTCTGATATTGAACTGTCCTACCGGTGAGAACAAGGACTATACTAGCACATGAACTTAAATCTCTATAGCATTTATTTGATGCTTGTTATACTGTATCTATCTTAAATGGTAAATAGCCTTTCACTTGTTTTGCGCTTTTTCACCAACAAGGCACTCAAAGCCCTTCACGCCGACTTGTCATTCACTTCCCGATGATGCAGTAACAGGAGCAACTGAGCGTTCAGTATCTTATTCAAGGACACATCGACATGGTCACAAGAGCTGGGGATTGAACCCAGAACCTCTGGGTTGCGAGACAGCCACTTTCCACTGAGTCATATCGTCCATCTTAAAATCCACGTGCTACCTATTAGTCCTTATTGGTAGGACAACTACATGCTACAATTAAGACAAAACTGTGCACTAGTTGACAACTGTGTGCTACGAGTACGACTAGCGGAATGTTAAAACCATTTGTAGTACTGGTAGCATGCAAATGTACTGTTCGCGAGGACAAAGAGCATAAAGTACATGGACCTTCAACTCAATATCGAATAAATGCCCGATGGAGGTATATTTGTCATATCAAATTATAAACCTAACAATGCCCCAAGGGCTTTTCATAGCTAGGTTCTGTTGTCATGATGAAAATACTCCATTTCCAAGTTCAATCTATTAAGTGCTGACAGGTGTTTATTACCAAGAGGCAACAGTATACATTAAAATACTGTGTTTGTCTTCTCATACACATTTGTACAACCAATATATCTGCACATGGAAGGATCTGCCAATCTGGTATATGAAAAACAACAGTGTCAGTGATTTCCTCTTGTCAGGACAAAACAACACATTCTCGGGGCTCTTCTTGAAAATCGGTGGCGTTTTTCAAAACGTGTGGCGTCTCGCTCATCTCCGAAGCACGGAAGCATACTTGCTGGATGTATTCAAACATGCCATTTTCCTTGTCTCTTGATTTTTTGTTGGCATCATGTGAGCTTGCTCACAATGGCCTGGTTGAGAGAGTTCAGCTGATTAGTCCATTTGTCTAAAGCTGTGTAGCGAGCCCCTCCCCTTTTCTGGTAGTCGAGTTCTAGTAGCTGGTTGACTTGGTCGATTCGCCCGTGGATTGTGCTGAGAACGACACAAACACATGTTAAGGAACGGCTATATGCCGCAGAAAAATGCATTCATCAAGAAATCAGTCAGGTCAGACTCTTTCACTTTGAGATACGTTCGACAGCAAAAGTCAACACACCCCCATTCAAAATGCCAGGTTTTTGTGACATGATCAATGAGCCCAAGATAAATCCTTTCAGAACTTTCTGTTTACAATGCGAGCCTCTTCTTGGGAAGAGCAGCATCATGCTTGCATGGAGGAGACAGCATCATGCTTAGGGTAGGCCTGTTTTTCTTCAGCTGGAAGTGGGGCCTTTGTCAATCAAGGTCGAGGAATAATGAACAGTTCTGTCAAAAATTTGTAAAGTGATCTGAAGAGGGCAGGGCACAGGAGATGCCCTCGCAATGTGACAAATTTGAATCGTTTTTGCAAAATAAAAGTCGGTAAATGTTGTCACATCCAAAAGTGCCACACTGATACACTGCTACTGAAAAAGATTTGAGTGCTGTCACAAAAGGCATCTTTTTTTTCATTTCATCAAACAAATGGCATTTAAATACCGGTAGTCTAGAGCAGGGGTGTCAAACATACGGCCCGCGGGCCGGAACCGGCCCGCAAGGAGGTTCAATCAGGCCCGCAGGATAATTTAAAAGTGAAAAAAAATGCATAAAAGACACAGAATTAATATTTTTAATAAGGTGCAATTCATTGAGTATCCGCAAGGGGACACTGTTTTGATCAGAGAAAAAG